AATGAAAACACTCACCTCAGGGGCCACCATCTTAAGCTATGTACCAGCTTATCAAAGAGCAACCCCCACAAGCACTTCATTTATAACCGTGTAGTCACCGGGTGGAATAAGCTTCCAGAGAACGTAGTCTCAGCTCAAAACGTGAACCAATTCAAAAATAGATTAGATAATCACTTTCTGAACTGCAAAAAGAGTAACTAGTGGACAATAAAAGGATACAGGCATTATCAGTTGTCTCAACTACCTGCCTGTTAATATAATTATTATTTATAGGCCATACAAATACTTAGCCCCCAGCGCTGAAACTCTACGCCACTACGCCACGGAGCCGTCTAAAAGAAAATAAAAGTGTTCGTGAGATAATGTACATGATGGCGTTCCTTTTTACCAAGCGGACGAAGCCGCATCCAAAAGCAGTTTTAAATTTCTCACGTGACAAACTCGCCACTTTGACATAGTGCGCTGAGAAATGAAAGGTAGCTTTGGATTAGGATTGTTTGATTGCCAAGTACTGCTAGGTTGACCTTTTTTTATAGAATAAGGGTGACAAGCGAGCACACAGCCCACCTGAAGGTAAGTGGATGCTGTGGCCCATAGATACGAGTATCTACATCTATTCTCGATTAAGAATCCAAATGCATATGCGTTGTCACCCGTGTGGACTAAAATAGAATGCCTCGTATTCAGTAAAAAGGGTCTCCGGTTCTCTACACTCACCATACGAAACACAGCAGCTATAAGCCGCTACTTTGCATTGGTATCCAGTGAGAATGTGGTCCTACCAAAGTCGAGCCGACCCATTCATGCTACAACCATAGTATATCTGCACCTTGGCTCTATCACGTAAAACCTGTATGTATTGGTGTATTTTTTTATAAAAATGAAGTGACAAATATACTTACAGTTCGTCTGACGGTAAATCGGCTACTGTAGTCTATGTGCACTTGCAGCCAAATTCAAACAAGGCTACATTGCGTTCCCACCTCATATGACTAAGATAGAATGTCACAGCCTGTAACTAATATGGCTCTCCATATCCTTCAAACCAGAAAACAGCAGTGCAGGCACTGCTATTTGGCGGTAGAAATAGGGAATAGGGTCGTACCTACCCAGACAGACTCCACCAGCGAAAGAGCACCACCTATTAAATTATTTATTTATAACTAGGTGGCACCCGACGCGTTGCAGCCGCAGAAGAAATTATTGTGGAAATATCTATTTAATTCGGAAGAGTTATATTGTTTAATTAGCAACGACAATTGGAAGTAAAGACTTTAGAAATGAGTTGGAGGGTGACGCGAATTAGTCAGTTTGAATAGCCTATCATGTAGAGGATGTCATGGGGTCATGGTTGAATAGGGGCAAAAAGTTCTCATTACACTCCTAGGGGCTCAAAGTGGCCAAATACAAAAAAAATTAAAATTCTTATTTCGGCTGTAACTCCGCCTCCTTCGGAGATTCTTACACAGTCTTTACTTCCCACATCCCACTTGTACATTCATTGAAGTTAAATGATATATATCTTTCAAATAAATTTGTCGACACCATACGCGCGCCACCTACTGTAAGTAAATTGTACTATGCCTATAAACTCCGCGCAAGTGCAAGCAATAAGTTGACAAAGTTTAACCGTAAACCGATGAACGGTATGGCAGCACATAAAATACGAACAAACAAAATTAATGTGTATATATTAGATTTAAGGCACAAAGCGAAAAAAAATATGTCAGACTTAATGCGAAAGGGCATTCCCTCCCAGTCAATCATTAGACTGAACAAAGATAGACATAACTTGAGGCGGTGCAGGGAAAATCGAAAAAGAAACGGATGATAATAGGTAAAATATTTCGAGTATGTTTAAATAAAAATACATATATATACATTTTTTGCAATTTGCCCAATGTATCTGCACAAATAGGAGTACCTATTTGTGCAGTCGATAATATCAACTTCAATACATATAAATGTATAATTATTATCTTTATCAAAATAAATATGAAATATATACCTTAGAATCTATACAGTTTATATAAAACTGCATTAATTCAAACTTGCTTTTGCAACATGCTGACGGATTTTATTTATAAAAACAAACTTGTTGGGAGCTTTTTAATGTCAAGAGGGATGTCGTTTCGTTCCAGTGTCTAATGACCGTGAGGGCGAAAGAGAGCGAAAAGGCGAAAGAGGGCGAAATATATGTAATAAGTACGGTGTAAATGCAATTTAAAATTACCCAAAGAACGGAGAAAACAATTATGAGAATCTCCAAATATTAAAGTTTAGATTCCAAGTACTCTGGAGCACATCATTCAGAATTGAAAAAGGGTGCAAAGTAGATGTAGCAGGGCGCGGTTAAGTTAGAAACTTAATTGAGCGGACGAATAGGTAGCCATTAAAGTTGAGTACGAAAAGGGAATGTATGGTCGTATTTACGAATACCATTTGATGTATGTAGTTGTTACGGAGACGATACTACGTGTTAGGATAATTTAGAGACAGTCTAAGCGACACACATTGACAAAATCAATATTCAGCAGAATAAGAGTTTAATCAAGTACGATATTCGTATTGGTTGGAAGAACTTTACAATTTAGTACGTGGTATAGCCAAACTACAGCTATATTTATAATATAGTTGTAGCACGAATGGGTCGGCTCAACCGGGGAAGTACCACGCTCTCACAGAATACCAGCGTAAAATAGCAGCTTAACGCTGCTGTGTTTCGTATGGTGAGTGTAGAGAACCGGAGACCCTTTTTATTGAAAGTGAGCCATTTCTCTTTAGTTCTCAGAGGTGGCAACGTATTTGTATTTTGATTCTTAACCAAGGATAGATACCCGTATAGACTTTTATGGGCCACCGTATCCACTTACCATCAGGTAGACTGTGTGCTCGCTTGCTATAAAAAAAAACTTTCGGGCATCTGAATAATCTGAAATTTTGCGGACGTATTGAAATACAATAATTTCATGCCTATATGATCACCGTGTAGTGGCGGTGAAAGAATATCCACTAAGGTGTGTGAGGGTAATATCACCTTAAGTTTTGCCGCCCTATAAAAACATACTAAGAGGAGAACAGAGGCAAAAACACTAAGTCGTATACTATAATTAATGTATCAAGAAAATAATAGCAAACAATCTTGAAAAGCAATAATTAGGAACACTTCGAAAAATCAACTTAAAAAAACTAAGTATACTACACAATTCTAAAATCTAGTAAAATATTTGCTATAATATCAACTGGCAAAATGGAGTCGATAAATCGGCGCCCTTTTGATCCTATATTATTTGATTGACTGATGAAGAGCCTTCGTATCACAGAACCACCTATGCAAATAAGGCTGTAGTTTTTGAGTTATAAGAAAGTGACCATATTAACCGGATGACCATATTACCCTCACGTATTATACACCATATCGTCCCGTGTCGTAAGAGACCACAAAAGGAAACTGAAACAGGAATTGTGCAGCAGCTATACCTTCCTGATAATAATTCAAAATTGAAAGATAAGGTTCCTTTATCCGCGACTGGTCGTCGCTGCTGGTGATAAGAGGGCTGGTTCTTTTCTCTCTCAAAGACTAAGTGTAGCCATTCAGCGGGGAAACGCAGCCAGCGTTCTTGGCACGATACCGCGGGGAGTAAGACTGTATGATAATTAAAGTTTTCAGTATTAGTTTTTTTTTATTATGATTTTTAATATTGTATATTGTATATATTTAAATTTTATGTTATTTACATCTGTTATAAATTCAAAATAATAAAAAACTGCGGTTACCTGTCTGCCTAGCAACTATGTCAAAATCATCCTTATGAGGCAATCTATGTGGGAGGCCTATGTTCAGCAGTGGACTGGTAGGATGTTAGATGGATGTATAGAAGATAATCTACCAGGAGCACATGACCCACTGAGAGGTGAAATTATTAAATCAAAAGTAACATGGCAAATATCACCCATTGGGGCAATCTATGGAGGAGGCCTATGTGCAGCAGTGGCTTTTTATAGGCTACAATGGATGAATAGTTGAATGAACTGGTATCCTCATTAGAATTATTAAAGCTCCTGACCAATGTAAGTATTTTAACATTTTCAACGTCTTATAATTACGAGTATAACATTTAACAAAAAGTAATATAGGTCGGGGAAAATTACTTCGTATTTTGTTTGTATAAAATTGATGAAACATCTCTTTGGTTGTACTGTTTGTATCTGGCTAGTTTTAATATCAATGCATATAGGTCATTAAGAATAATAAAAATAAAGGAAAAAAAACAACTTTCCGCAATTTTTCAATTGTTTTTCTGTCCGCCCAAATGAGTGAATCTAACAAAAGAAATTCGATACATTCAGAAGTTTTATTTAAAAAAAAAAAAGGAAAAATGCGACTCAAGCCGAAAAAAAAATTTGCGATGTTTATGGACCTAATGCAGTGTCAGTAAGAGTAGCACAAAGTTGGTTCAAGCGTTTTCAGTCTGAGAATTTTGGTGTCAAAGATGCAGCTCGCTCTGGTCGCCATTTTTGAAAAAGTGGAGTTAGATCGGCATATTAGTAGTTACGACATAGCCGAGGAATTGAGGATTGACCACTAAATAGTTTGACCCATTTGAAAATGTATGGCTATACAAAAAAGCTTGATATTTGGGTACCACACGAGCTCACTGAAAGAAACCTAATGAATCGTGTACTCGTTTGCGATTCTCTATTGAAACGTAATGAAACAGTTTTGAAGATTGATCACTGGTCATGAAAAGTAGATCACCTACGTATGTATGACAAGAACGTACGAAAAAGATCATGATCAAAGAAAGGGTAGTCATGCTCCACAGACTGTTGCAAAACCCGGATTAACACGCAATAAGGTGATGCTGTGTGTACAGTGGGATTGGAAGGGCATCGTTTATTATGAGCTTTTACCGCCAGGCAAAAGCATCGATTTGAATCTCTACTGCCAACAACTAATGAGAATTAAGCAAAAAATTTTGAAAAAACGGCCGGAATTGATGAATAGAAAAGGAGTGGTGTTTCATCATGATAACGCCAGACTATACACATCTTTGGCCACGCAGCGAAAATTGAAAGAGCTTAGTTGGGAAGTGTTAATACATCCACCATATAGTCCTGACCTTGCACCCTCAGAATTTTACATGTTTCGGTCTCTTCAGAATTCTTTGGGTAGTGTTGGGTTAACATCAAGAGAGGACTGTCAAAACTACTTGTCGCAATTTTTGATCAAAAATTTGGAGAGGGGACAAACGAGCATGCGGCTCACCTGATGGTAAGTGACTACCGCCGCCCGTGAACAACCGCAACACCAGGAGAATTTCAGATGCGTTGCCAGCCTTTTAAAAAGGAGTAGGCTCTTTTCTTGAAGGCCCCTAAGTCGTATTGGTCCGGAAAAATCGCTGGTGGTAAACTATTCCACAAGGAAGTTGTGCGAGGAAGAAAACATCTAAATCGCACAGTGGTGGACCGCCAATCATCCAGATGGTGTGGATGGTATCGGGAGTTCTGCCGCGATGTGCGTTCGTGAAATTTGGCGGCTGGGATTAATCCGAATAATTCCTCAGAGCACTCCCCATGGTAAATGCGAAAGAAAATGCAAAGAGAATCAACATCTCTTCGCAGTGCCAATGAGTCGAGCCGATCGGAAAGGACTCGGTTGTCGACGATTCGAGCCGCTCTGCGCTGGATGCGGTCAAGTGGAAGGAGCTGGCACTGGGGAGCCCCAGCCCAGAGATGGGAACAGTATTCCATATGAGGCCGAACCTGCGCCTTGTAAAGTTGCAGGCGTTGAGCTGGCATGAAATACTGTCCCGTTCTGCTGAGCACGCCAAGCTTTTTAGAGGCCAATTTGGCATTCTCTTCCAAGTGACCACGAAACTGCACGTCACTCGATATGTCTACGCCGAGGATTCCGATACTGGCTGAGGCAACAAGGGGAGTACCTTGAAACTGAGGAGATACGACAAATGTGTTCTTTTTAGCGGTAAACGAGCAAACTTGTGTCTTCTGAGGATTAAACTGGACTAGATTTAGTCGCCCCCAATCCGAGACTTTGTCCAGCAAAGACTCGACTTCAGACACAAGTTTGTTCCGGTACTCGGTGACGTTTTTCCGAGCAATATTGGCACGAAAAAATCTCAAGATTTCTACAGCAGCAGGATTATGTTACTACCTACAAGATGGCAACAAGTTATCGAACAAAATTCCACAAATATATTATAATTAAATGTTATTAAACTTTGAAGAAATGTCTTTGTATATAAAATACGAAGAAACTTTTGCCCGACCTAATAAAAACTGACTGCAAATTTTTTAAAAAGAAGTTTTTATTTGCTACCCTGAGGGGTGGAATTTTTTATGCAAATTTATATGGGACCACCCTTGAAGTATAACCTATATTATAAAAGAAGAACCATCAGAATTGGTTCACAATCTTTGAAGATATCGCGTAACATGCATACAAAAAGAACATACACTCGGATTAGAACCTACTTCTTTTGAAGCCGGTTAATAATATTTTACTTATCATAGTCAATTAAGCCCACCAGCTGAACATAAAACAACGTTACTCCTGTAGTGGGGCTTTCTCTTGTATACTGGTATCGTTTTGCATACATAAATTGCATATGGACAAACATCCACACCCGGAAAAATTACTTGTACGCCATACAAACACTTGTTCCATGCGAAATTAGAACCTGCGGCGTTATCAACTATACGCATAGCGACTGTACTACCGGGTCGATACCGCAGTGACTAAGTACAAATGTGTCCCCTCCACAAAACTATTAGATCAAGCTGCATCCACCAATACTTACTTACTTCAATTAGTATGTCACTTTATCAAGATTTCCGGTAAAAGGATGCCTCAAGAATCATTTTTAACCGACTTCAAAAAGGAGGAGTTTCTCAGTTCGAGTGAATTTTTTTTTTGTATGTGTGTTACGCGATATTTTCTTCTTCGCGTAATTTATCTACAGATTTCAAAAAGGAGACGGTACTCAATTCGACTGTATGTTTTTTTATGTGTGTTACCTCATAACTTTTTACTGGGTGAACCGATTTCGATGATTCTTTTTTTATTTGAAATCTGGTGCCTCTCATGTGGTCCCATATAAATTTGAACATGGTCTGACCAGTGTTATCCTTAATAATTTATAATGGAATCGGTTGTACAAAATTTTTAATTATACCAATTGTCATTACTACATTAGCGTTATGGCTTGCTTACATTATTGTTACAAAAGAATAGTGCATTAATATCAAGGTCTGACCAGAGTTTTTGAGTTATTCTTAATAATTTATATTGAAGTCGGTTGTAAAAAATTTTAATTTTAAATTATTTATTAAATAGGTTATACTTCAAGGGTCCCATATAAATTTGGAGAAAAAACTCCAGCCCTCAGGGTAGCAAATAAATAACTTCTTTTTTAGCTATTTGAAGTTGGTTTTTACTTTTTGTTAAAAGTTATAATTATTTTAAATCAAATGAGCTGATAACGACATTCATAACCGATTTAGCTTACAAATCCTTTAGGCTATGTTAGCTAGTCTTTGTTACTTATCACAATAGTTGTTAGGGTGCTGGTGGTAGCTAGTGCTGACCCTGGGACGTGCTGAACAAGTGTAACGTCGGTGAAGCATCGGTATCTCGCAATCTCTTAACTGTGGTGGTGACTACCGCGGAATTCTATAGCTGGTAAGTGCCTCTATACTGTACGTGCAACGTGCATGTCATCACTGGCAACATTCACCAGTTGTACCACTTTTCTCGCGTTGATAGTTTTATTTTTCAACACGCAAAATGACCTTAGGAGGGTGAGTATACTAACCCTTTAACCCTTTTATATTTGAATAAGCGTCAATATGTGAATCTAAAATCGTTACAGTCTATTCAAGTAGGGGATATTTGCCATTGTTGTAATGTTACTGTTGATTTAATAATTTCACCTCTCAGTGGGTCATGTGCTCCTGGTAGATTATCTTCTATACATCCATCTAACAGCCTACCAGTCCACTGCTGAACATGGGCCTCCGCCATAGCTTGCGTCATAGGGGGTATATTTGCCATAGTTGTAATGTTACTGTTGATTTAATAATTTCACCTCTCAGTGGGTCATGTGCTCCTGGTAGATTAACTTCTATACATCCATCTAACAGCCTACCAGTCCACTGCTGAACGTAGGCCTCCCCCATAGCTTGCGTCATGAAGGGTATATCTGCCATAATTGCCATGCTTGGAAAGTGAGTTGGTGACCGTAGTTTTTATTTTTAGTCGTTATCAGGAAGACCCTGCTGCCCATCTCCTGATTTGTTTCCTTCTGAACAGTCTTATAGTGTATATTTTTACACCGCCACTACACGGTAAAAGGGTTAATATTGTGCAAATGTTTAATTAGAAATCTCGTTGCGCACACAATACCTAATTCCTAAGTAAACAACTGATATACCAACAAAAGACCATTTTGACTGTGCAATTGTGAGATCTTGCTCAACTTTATCTCACGCGTACTTATGTCGAGAGTAGCCTGTAAATTACAATAGCGAAGAATTGTTCATTCGAAAATATGCGTGGATAAATTATTCTTAAAATGCAAAGAATTTTAATTAACGTTTCTTTTTAAAATGACAAAAACAGTAGAAAGCCTTTAAAACTCTTTTTAAACTTGAGTTAATAATTGATATAGGTACAAAAAAACTAAAAGTAAAGACAATATTTTGGAAATATTATAACTGTAGCTACAATTTAATAAAAAAATATATTTTTTTTTACTTTATTTTCCGTAAGTTCAGCTAGGAGTTGGTTTCAGTATTTTCACAAACAAGGATCATAGACAAATTATTTGAGGTACAAACCTATACATTGTATTGAGTATGACACTAATATAATATTTGATTAAAACATTAATTTAAAAAAAAATATTATTACGAGTTTATTGTCTATTTTATCGTATTCCGTGTATTTTTGACAAATAAAATTATTATGAAAATCGTCTGTACATTGTAACATAATCACAACGTTAATGATATGATTATAAATATTTATTTTAAAAAATCTTAAATAGTGAATATAAATTAACTACTTTTATACTTACATAGATTATTTTGTCGATTTGTATCAAACGTTCATAAACGGTGTAACAAAAAATTACGCAATGACATACACAACAAACAATTACACTTTAAAGGCAAAACTGACTTAATTATAGTAACGAATTTTTCTAAGAAAAAAAGGTTGATTTTTGGCAAAATCCGCGTTGACCTTGCGCTCGACGCCCAACTGCGACGATGGCGGCGCGATACTGCCGAAATGGCGGGAAATCTGACATGCGCTTTAGGAAATCGATGGGGAAAATGGCCTAATTGAAGCGCGCCGTCTTTGAAATTACGTTTAGTCAGCCAAATTCTGGTACTTTTTAGGCTTTGTTTTTTTTTAATAATGTACATTAAATACATGACTACATTGTAGATACCACGCTGCAGCTATATTATGGTTGTAGCACAAATGGGTCGTACCACGCTCTCATACTACTACGTTAAATAGCAACTTAACACTGATGTGTTTCGTATGGTTAGTATAGAGAACCAGAGACCCTTTTTACTGGAAAAGAGGCATTCCATCTTCGTCCTCAGGGGTTACAACGCATCTGCATTATGATTCTTAACTATGGATGTCTATGGGCCACATAAACCTCTTACCATCAGGTGGACTTTGTGCTCGTTTGTCACCTTTATTCTATAAAGAAAACATCCTTCTCCTCATCTTTGGTAAAGTAAGAAAGAAGAGACAGATGAGGAACGACTGCCATTGCACTTTGTCTAAAAAATTACCACTTACCAGTGCGTGCTTACGAATTTCACACGACTTTGAAATTGAATAGGAAAATAGGTTTCCTTGCAATGTTTTTCTTCAAAAAAAAATCAGAGCATGAAATTCTTTGTAATATAAAAATAATTTTAAAGAATAACGATGGCAATGAGCACATAATCCACCTGATGGTAAGTGGATGTTAAAACGTGTAGGCATCTACATGTATCCTCAATTAAGAATCAAAATGCAAATATGTTGTCATACCTGAGGTCTACGATGGAATGACTCGTTTCCAGTAAAAAGAGTCTCCAGTTCACTACATTCACCATACGAAACACAGCAGCATTTAAGCTGGTATTCTGTGAGAGCGAGATTCTAACCCGGTCGAGCCTACCCGTTCGTGCTACAATCATAAAATACCTGCAGCATGGCTCTACCAAGTAAATTAGTAAGTAATCT